ACTTGAACCGGGAATTTCTAAAACTCTGCTGTCTTTGCTGTCAGAACAGGTGAAAAGAATGTTTCCATGGGACAAGTATTGTATGGTCTCCTTTGATGAAATATTTCTGAGAGGAAGTTTGTTTTTCAACCCTGGTAAGAATGTCATCGAAGGATTTGAAGACTATGGCCACAAGGGCCGCACCAATAGAGTGGCTGATCATGCACTAGTATTCATGGCTCAAGGACTAAACACAAAATGGACATTTCCTGTAGCATACTTTCTTGTCAGCAAGACATGCCCGTCAACCATGTTGAAAAGTCTCTTGGTTGATGTCGTGAAATCTCTCATGTCTATTGATTTGATTGTGTTTGGCTCCATATCTGACCAAGGCCCTACTAATCAAGGGGCGATTTCTGAATTGAAAAAAGAGAGTGGTGATGCTGTATTTTACTCGGTTGATGGTCACAAGCTTGTTCATATCTGGGACATGCCCCACATCCTGAAAAACGTCCGGAATAATTTACTCTCAAGTAATTTAGAATTTGATGGTGGAGTGGCCAGGTGGAGACACCTCATTCAATTTTTCAAACTTGACGAGTCCTTGTATAAGATGTCAAATCTGACCTATAAACATTTGAACCCTCAAGGCCGAGACAAAATGAGAGTTCCCATTGCAGCTGAAACATTAAGTGCTACAACATCAAGAGCTATCAAAACATTTCAGGCCTTGAAGAATTGTCCTGAGCTGCTGGAATCCCTGATTTTTGCAAAACTCTGTGATCAGGTTGATCTTTTTTTTGATTTATGTAATGGTCCAAGAAGTGGGGAGAAGGTGAAGGAAACTAGAGCAAATGTCACATCACTTTCACTTCACCATGAAAAGTGGTCTGAGGTATCTGCTGCTCTTAAAAACTGGACATTCATCAGAAAATCAGATGGCTTACGGCATGTGCCCCCTTGTGTGAATGGATGGATCCAAAACATCCAAAGTTTTCGTGCTTTGTGGAAGAAAGTTGAAAATTGTGGTCTTAACATCTTGAAATTACGTCATCTAAACCAGGATCCTGTTGAAAATTTGTTTTGTTTAGTGCGCCAATGTGCTGGAAGTGCCACTGACTTGACAACCAGAACTTTTGCTGCTGCTCTCAAAACTTCATTGGTGACAAGGTTTGCATGTCCAGTTCGTGATAAAAACTGTCTTGATGACGAGTCTTTTTTTGTGAGTGATCTCTCTAAATTATTACTATCAGCTGAGCAAGCAGAGAGCCCTTCCTTGAATGATGAAGAATGTTTGATACGTGGTGATATTCCTCAAAAGAGAAGTCCCATTTCAAGCAATCCTGTTGAGAGGCAAGGGCCAACCCAATTGTTAAGCTCCATCATTACCAGCATTTCCCAAGAGATAAAGTGCGATGAGTGCTTATCTTTACTTTGCTCACATGAAAGAAGACGTGACACCATGCTCGTTAGTGCATCTTCATCTCTGGATTTGTTTCCTTCGGCTGCTTTGGTTACATTGTATCTTAATGCACTCTCCACATTCAATCAAAAGTCCATCCGACTCCTCCATAAAAGGAATGTCACAACTGAAATTGCAGAAGTCTGTAATTTGTTGGATTGGTCTAGGGTATTCTGCCCTGCTCATCACGAATCAGAATATAAGAAAATCATACTTGAAAAAACTGCTAACTTGCTTATCAAATCCAAGATTAAAGACGTCAACCAAAAATTCAAAGAAAAAGTTGTGAGACGCTCAAGACAAGTGATGGCAAGTGACATAAAGAATTGTGATGGGCTCAGAGCCTCTGAAGAGTTGACAGAGATACATTCGGCAGATTTGCAGTTTCTTCTAGGACCAGGTTTTTTAAGGCCTCTCAAATCTCCTTTGTGTGTTATTGGAATGCACTTTGTCATCTTAATATATATTGACAATTCCATATCGCCAACTAAATGTATCATTTTCTGTGTAGAATTTACTTAATATTTTTGCCGGTGGTCATGTGCATTTGGGCGAATCATCACACAGTATTTTTCTCCTATCCATTTTTTTATGTCATTTGCCATCGACTGTTGTAGGTTACTGACATAAAAAGATTCTCATAGAGCACGGTAACAAGTTTTCTAGTGGGTCTTGGTTTAGATTTTATTTAAATGTATGTTCCTATTCTAATTTCCAACTGTTTCCTCAAAGCATGACAGTTAAATCACAGTTTTCTGTATCGAAGATCATAAGGAATCTATTGTGTCTCTCTGCATGATTATCTTATCTTTTTATTCCTTTTTTTAAACACATGTTTCAGGTTTTATGGGACGAGCCATCATTTTCGTCACCCCATTCTCCTATTTACATCATCATTCATGGGAAATTTAGATGAGTCTATAAATTGTGTTTCACTTGATGTTCCTTTAAATTTTACCCCTTGTGACAGTAAAGCTTTTCTGAAAGTTTGCCTCTTGTTTCAGGGGTTGCTGCTGCCGCTGTGCCTGCTGGGTGCTCCACCCCTCAAAGGGGTTCCACAAGCAACGTTCCAATAACACCTATGAGGACCCCGGTGAGGGCTGAAATGGCTCCTCCTGCGTCGTTGTTTGTGACCCCAGCGAGGCAGAAAGTGCTGGCCAACTGGCAACCTCCACCATCGCCTAGCACTCCAATGGTACTACTAACTTGTAACCTAACCATTCCAATGTAAAACTACCCATTTCAAATCAATCAAGTTACACTGTATTTTATCGCCTGTTTCAGAAAACCACTGCTGCTGAGATAGGATTGGCACAAATGAAAGATTTGGCTGTTTCAAAAAAAGTAAGTCTTCTTACATCTCTTTCTTGAAAGTACAATAAATAGTCAGCATATCACAATATTTACAATTTTTTTCAGCTTGGATCTTTAACTATGCCTCTGCTGAAACAGTTCTTGAAATCCCAAGGAAAGCGAGTTGGAGGCAACAAGACCGAATTGATTGTAAGAATTCAAGAGCTGTTTGGTGTGTAACAGAATTGCTTTGCTTGTTTGTTAGTATGTTGACATTCTTCCTTTTCTTTAGTTGGTTAACACTTTTGAATTTTCTATGTTTGTTAGTATTAACGAATTTTCTATTTTTGTTAATCTTGACGAATTTTCTATTTTTGTTAATCTTGAAGAATTTCCTATTTTTGTTAATCTTGAAGAATTTCCTATTTTTGTTAATCTTGACACAGTTCATTTATTGTCAATAAATGATACCAACAATAACTGTTTTGGTTTTGAACCCTTTGAATCTCCCTCTTCTTGTGCTGCCAACGTGATAACAAAAATACACTAGGCATGGCGACGCCAGGGTGACAATTGGTGCCGTCAGGTTGGCAAGAGCCCAGGCCGACTCGGTCCACAGGCGACGGCGCTTTAGCACTAGGTTGGTGGGGGTTGCTTCGACACAGAGGCCAAAAAACTCGAGGGTGAGAACTACCCGACTCTGCCTCTCGTCACCCTAGCACAGCATCGCAGGAAGCTGGGCACTGCAGGAAGCCTGTCGTGCTTGCCCGAGGCGACGATGAGCAAGGGTGAGTACTGCGTTGCGTATCGTACTGACTGAGCTGCCACAACCAGTGCCTGAGTAGCCCCCCTCCCTTTCTGCAAGTTAAATAAGGTTTGACAATTGTCGTTTTTACAGTGGAGATGACCCTGACGAGCAGGAGAATAAAATGCGGGCCTTGGCACGAAATGTGGCAGACAATCTGAGGACTACCCTGGTTGTCACGCCAACTTATCATCTCGCCACTTTGCTGCAGCCGCACTTTCGCACGCTCAAAATGCTCACGTGAACTAAACGCTAGCTCTTAAACTCACGTCACTCACGTAATCATCAAAGTCGTGTCGTCAGACTCTGATGATGAGCCATGTGGGCCGACAGGAGGCCAAGGGAGGTCGTCAAACTCTGACTCCGAGGATGAGCCATGTGGGCCGACAGGAGGCCAAGGGAGGTCGTCAGACTCTGATGAAGAGCCATGAGGGCCGACAGGAGGCCAAGGGAGGTCGTCAGACTCTGATGATGAACCATGTGGGCCGACAGGAGGCCAAGGGAGTGGCTCCCTTGTTTATCGACGTGAAGGATATTGTTACCATCGAAACCAGATTAAGAATGGGACAACCTACTTTGACCGTGAAAGACGCAAAAGGCGTAAGTGTAAAGCCACAGGTACTGTGTTAAGGGAGAGTCGGTTCTGAAACCTGACAAGGGCCACCACCATCCCAAGCAATCTGAAGGGTTTGGGGGCCGGGACATGAAAGCTAAAATTGTTGGCTGAGCGATAGCGAAGCCCGTTACTCCAGTGCGGTTGAAAAGTTTTGTTTGTCTGTCTGTCCGTCTCTGTGTGTGCACTACTCCTGAACGGCTCGGCCGATCTGGCTGAGATTTTGCAGGGTCGTTCGACATGTTTTTAGCTCACCACACCCCAAAATGCAGCTTTCACTCTCAATCCATTCTGCCATATCGGTCAAAAAACACTTAAAAAACGGCAGAAAAAAGTCAACTTTTAAGGTACTTTCAACTTCTAGTCAAGATTCGTGTCGTTTCATATGTTTATGAGGCTGCTGATGACGAACATAGAACCCATTCGGACCCCCGACCCACAATTTAGTTCAATTAGTGTAGTTCTGATGAGCAAATGCTTATTGCAGAGGGAATCACGCCCATTTCTACGGTCTGTCTAGCGAAGCATAGCCTGCTAGCGCCGCAGGCCAAGGTTGGTGTTAACGCCAGGCGTGGATTGTCGAAACTGGCGCAGCATCGCGAAGCCTGTTACGACAAGACACGGTCTGGCGTACACCTACCTTGTAGTTAAGCAGCATTCGATCGGGAATTACTTTTTCAGAGGGACCAAGTTGACAGGCCAACCTAAAGTTAGAGTTTTTTCTCAACTTGGAACCCCCACTTGAGACTTGGGAAGAGAGGTTGAGGAAGGGGAAAAAAGTCCTGGCCAGTACAGGCAGTTAGCCTCGGCCAGAAAAGAGGAACCATTGAAAAAATTAACGGCTATTCTTTCACAGTGGTAGCAGTGACCATTTTTTAACAGAATTTCTCCCCGGAGCAGAGCGATGTTTAATTCATTGTGGCGCTGACGAGGACCAGAGCGCTGGCTGCAGCCAGGGACAGCGCGACTGATGACTCAGCAAGGCGGGAGTGATTTCTGTGAGAATAGCAGAACGTGTTACTGACATTTTCTTCGCAGTCTCATGGTATCGGACTACCAAGAAATTTAAACAAGGGCTCACAAATGATCCAGGAAGCGGAATAAGGGGATGACTCAATTTTCATCACTTTTCAGGAAAACAAAAATCTGTTTGTAGGGTTAACTATATCCCACCAGATGAATGGTCCAATTGATTTTGTGTCAAAAAAAGCCTCAGAAAGAACTGTCGAACTGTCAAAATTTTCAAAACTGTAACTGCAGATGGTTTTTGTGGTTGAAGTCTAAACGTTAGTATGGACTACGGAACTTAGTTTTATGTTAACTTAGTTCTCCCAAACGAGGTGAAATTTCGAGATGATTCAAGTGGAGCTAAGGTCTGCGCAGAGTCCGTATTCCTGAGGAATATTTTTGGAGTTACCTCTATAGACAATTACGTTGTTGGCGGGAGTTAAGTGTAGTTGATCCTTTTCATTGGCTGAGCGATAGCGAAGCCTGTTACCGTGAAACGGGGTAACTTCGGACACTTTTGAGAGGTTTTTTTGAAATTGTGAAAGTTGTGGTGCTGTCATGGACTTGAGGGTTAAAATTTATCATCTACGCACCTTTAGCTTCGATTTGGCGCTTATTTCAAATATTTGCACCTCACCGTTTTAACAGTGGAGGGTCCGAAGCAGTGTCCGAAATTACCCCGTGTTTTGGGGTAATTTCGGACACCCTTGGAAAAAACGACTTTTCGTTCTGATTTTGGTCCCAAAATCGATCACTGTCTCTTTCTAAAGTGCTAATATGATTATGTGAGAAATTCGTCAGGGTTTAGATGTAAAAGTAAGGTAGGGGTGGTCATTCATACATAATTTTAAGTCATGTATTGCACTCATATGTAGTTCAATTTCAGAAATAGTGGGTGGAACTAGTAGAGCCATTTAGAACGCTTCTATTTGTTAGTTTTTGACCGATTAGCTTTCACAGGCAACTCGGGCCATACTTTATTACGCGAAAGTGAATCTTAAATCTGCCTCTACAAGATTACATACGATCGCATACATGTATATGAAGGGCAAGTAGTCGTGTCGTATGTACAGTTAGGAAGATACAGGGGCTCAGTGGAAAGCGTTGCATAGTAAACCGGTGAGCTATGCAGCCATTCGCCAAGTCCAACTCTCATGTCACATGAAAGAAAATTAATCACAAAACAGTCGTTGACACTAAGGTAGAACACGCGCATAAAAAAAACTAAGCATTAAAGATGTAGCTTTGCCCCATTTTCATGAAATTCGAAGTTTATAAAGAAACCGCTGTAACAATTGAGGATTATCGTTGTTATTGGATTATCTTCAACTTTCAGAAGAGCTCTTCAGCTTCCACCACTCAAACCCTGCGAAATTAGAAGTGTTTAGGACATACCCACTCTCCCTGGCGTGACGTTTGTATGTCCGAAATTACCCCGTAAAGTAGCATTTTTTTAGTTTTAAGCCCATGTAAACCATACTAGTTGACCCAGGTGATTGAAAATTTGACACAGTATGCTCTTAACATGATTGAATCGACAAACAATCCCCTCATGAACCGGCCATGAACAGTTTCGGCTTGCCAGTCAAAGTTTTTACGCATAAAGCGAATTTAGGTAAAAATGGTTAAATACAAAAACCACTATTTCTCCTGGAGTTTGCCCCTGATTTGGCCTCCGGGTGATTGATCAGATGGTTTCAAGTGTGGCCGATGCGATGCGCGCAACGGGACAAGCCTCCAAGTTGGCCGTTAGATGGGAGCATCATCGCAATGCTTCCGGGCAGAGTTGTCCGAAATTACACCGAGTGTCCGAAATTACCCCGTTTCACGGTACTCCAGTGGGGTTGAAAATCTTTTTTCTGTCTGCCTGTGTGCGTGTATGTGTACACTACTCCTCCTGAACGGCTCGGCCGATTTAGCTGAGATTTTGTAGGTTTATTGGGTATGTCCTTGGCTCGCCACACACCAAAATAGAGTACTTTCGTATAATCCTGAACCGGAAGCAAGCAGACCAGCAGACGCCAAATTGGCCGGAAACTAACCTCTCCTCGGATCCAAAACTATAGCCGAGCAGTACAAATATTGCTCGCGAAACACATATGCGCTGCAAACAAGTATCAAACGACTGTTTAGGTTCAAGTGTGGCCGATACCTTTGACGAACGTCTCTTTCCCATGTCAAGTTTGGATCTACTTCCGCCAACATGGCGTCTGTGTGCTTCCGGTTCAGGGATCTACGAATGTACCCTATTCAGCTTTCTATCTCTCTATCCATTCGGTCATAATAGTCAAAAAACACTTTAAAAAGGCAGAAAAAGACAACTTAGTAGGTACTTTGAACTCTCTGATAAGTTTCATGACGTTTCCTATGGTTATGATGCTGCAGATGAAGAAAATAGTAACCATCCGGACCCCCGACCCAAAGTTAAGTCCCATGAGAGTAGATTTTGATGACCAAATGCTACTTTTAAAGGGGATCACGCCCGTCTACGCAGCAAAGCAGCCTGCCGAAGGCAGGCTAGCGCCGCAGGCCAAGGTAGGTGTATACGCCAGGCGTGGATTGTCAAACTGGCGCGGCATCGCGAAGCCTGTTACGACAAGACACGGTCTGGCGTACACCTAACTTGTATTTTATTCATAAGGACACAAGTTGAGTTATCTCCTTAAGCCATTTTGTGCAACGGAGTCAAGTGGACTTCGGTAGAGTTTCTTCTACTTTTCGATGAAATTTAGACCGTAAAAGGGGTCAAGTTGAGTTATATACATTTGGCATGTGAATTCACTGCTAATCCAAGTGTGAGCCACGTTTGTCTCACGCTTCCAAGTGTGGGACAACGAAGTCTCACACTTGCAAGCGTGAGACACGGCCTGTCCCACACGTGCTGCCTATGCAAGCTCTGTGGTTTAATGCCACGGGTCCCACGCCTGCAAGTGTAGGACAAATCGTGTCTCACACTTACAAGCGTGAGACCAACATGGCTAACACATGTAAGCGTGAGGCAAAATGTCCCACACCTACAAGAGTGAGACTGTCTCACACTTGCATAAGCAGTGAATTTTCTCCTGGCATTCACACTCAATATCTTATGATCGTTTTAAAACGTATTACGATGGTTTTTCATCGTAAGGTACGCATAAATTTGCACATACACAATATGCTTAATTTTTCATCGTATTACGCATAAATTTTATTGTAGTACGTATTTTCTCATTTCAACGTATGTTACAATGGCTCTTTCATCATTAGAATCTGAGGGTGTTGGGTCAAATAATTCGGCGTAATGATGCAAACCATCGTGGGACACAATAAGATGAAAACTCAATTTGGAGATAAGTCGAATTATCCCCTTCTTCCGCTTCCTGGATCAAATATCATAGAAGGGTCGCATACGAGACAGGAAATTTCTGCAGATGACCCAACCACATGAAGATGAGTAACTCGTTGGACAACAAAAGTGGTGAGGAATTAAGGGGGGGTCCATTAATGACGTTACGCAATTTTGAATACTTTGCCCCCCCCCCCCCCCCGCAGTCGCAGCGTTACGTTGGGCAAAGTATACTCACGCGGTTTGCACCTCTCAACGTAATTTGTCGGCGTGGACTAAAAAGTCCCACGCCTGCAGTTGTGGGACGGCCCTATCCTTGGATTCGCGGTGCCTGGATGAAGCTTACGGTTCGGAGCGCAGATCCTTCCAGAAGGCGACGTTGCCCAAGTCCCGATCCTCGGCCATGGTCACGTTGTCTGGATCGACAATTCGTAGGTACCTCACGGCGGCCCCTGCGCCGTTCTGAACGACTGGCTCCCATGTGACGCCGGGGATGCTGGGGTTCCTGCACAGTCAGTCACTCTCATTCCAGGAACGTGACATCCCATTGAAATGAATGTGGAGTGATTCCATATCTAGGGAGCACAAGATTTTTTTTGTGTCACCGATCTGGACCACATGTACCCGTAGGGTAGAGGAAGATGCCCACGAATTTTGAAGGTCCTAGGTCGACCCAGTCCGGAGCAGTGGGCCATAGTGTGTTTTGAGACTTTTTGGTCGAAGTCAACTTTGAAGGTACAAATCAATGGAAAGGGCTTGACCTAGGGACTTGAAAATTTTACCAGGTCTTACGGGACGAAAGCAGGGATCCTTAACTTCTAACACCTTTTCAAAAGGGTAGGTTATTTTTTTATGTCTCGAATTTGTTTGGATATACTTTTGCAAGTACTTTCATAGGTCCGTACCCTCAACCTTTAGCGGACATTGTCTTATGTTACGTTATGAAAGCAGTGTTAGTTAAATGTTAAGTTAAGGATCCCTCAACAAAAGGACAACATTTAAGAATCTTTTCAATAATTTTGAATTTTTTTAAATTTATTGAATAAAATATGAACTTAAATGTTTTTTTCCTACATCTCAAAAGCACATTTTTGAAAAAAAAAATGAAAAATGTTGAGAAACTGCCTTTGCTTGGTCCTTGTAACCGTTCAAAATTGCAGCCTGGGCTGAAGGACTCTAGCGGTGAAATCACTAAATTGTAGCCTGGGTACACAAGAATGAGATAAACAATGATCCCAAGATAGAAGTAGCGGTCTGATGATTATCTTCTACTTCCTTACTTGTGTTTTGAGTGTTTTCAGCCTGTCAGGATCATGTTTCGAAGAGCCAAGTCATTGTAAGTCCACTCACAAGTGGAATCGTAATCGAACCGTGTCTCCAGTTTGCCCCAGATTTACTTAGCGCTCGATACCCTTTCGAGGAAAGTTTAGAATTCCTGGACTCAAGTGGCCGATTCACACAGCACAGGTTCATCGGCTCTTAAGACGATACTCAACTCACGAGGTTTGGATGAAGGAGAACCACATGTCAAGAATGGTTCTCCGGATAATTATGTCATCCTGCCGGTGGAAGACTCCGCTCTGCTGTATGGGGTACAGCTGGTCGTCCGCATGGCCCACGCCCAGGCCTCCGGCGTAGTTGCTGTACTCTCCGCGGTGTGCGAACTCGTACGCATACACGGGTTGCGACTGCACGGCCGCGCGCCTCGCGATGTGGCTGGCCACCCCGGACATGAAGTTGCCGTCGGTCATCAGCTGTTCGCCAAAGGAAACATCTCGTTATCCACGCTGCTGATACTGAAGCGCGCCCGCAATTTCCTGCCGCAAAATGCCGCGCAGTCCTAATAGAGTGCCAATGAGGTATTTTGCGATTGTGAAGAAGAGAAAGAAAATGCGGTGGTGGGGGTAGAATATAACAAACCCTCATTTGTTTAGGCAGTTCGTCTGCTCGGTGGCTACCATGGCCGCCGAACAAAGGAGGGTTTGTGATGTTCTACCCCCACCGCCGCATCTTCTTCTTTCTCTTCTTCACTATCGGAAAATATGTTGGAATGAGGCAATTTCTCATACAGAACCGAACAGACTAGAAGTGTTGTGACGGTGGTCACGCGGGGACCGCCCAGCCGAAAAGTGCAAGCGAAGGCAGATGCTCGGGAAGGTAGGGAACCGACTGGCGAGCCGTGCCGGGGCTCGGCAGTCGGTGTGGGGCCTGCCAGCGGCCAAGACCAACCCAAGTGTCGGGAGTGCTGAGAGCTTGTATCAAGGTAACCGGACTCTTTCCTTATTCTACAACCCTCACTCCCGAGTAACCCCCTGACCATCAGAGAGCTACATCCCTGACAAGTGCTCTGGCCCACTAAACTGCCTGCTGGGTCCGGGACTTGTACATGGTGGAGGTGCTGAGGGTTTTAGTTTTAAGCTTCACTTGGGTGGGTACCACACCGGCTCACTTTAGGTTAAGGAACGACCAGCGCCACCGTCTGGCCGGTCAGCGGGGTCGTTTAGGTTTAAGGTTTTAGTTTTAGGCCCGCGCCGCGCCTGTGTGTTCGCGAAAAGCCGACAGGCCGGAGGCTAATTGGGCATGTTTTAGTTTTAGGCCCGCGCCGCGCCTGTGTGTTCGCGAAAAGCCGACAGGCCGGAGGCTAATTGGGCATGTTTTAGTTTTAGGCCCGCGCCGCGCCTGTGTGTTCGCGAAAAGCCGACAGGCCGGAGGCTAATTGGGCATGTTTTAGTTTTAGGCCCGCGCCGCGCCTGTGTGTTCGCGAAAAGCCGACAGGCCGGAGGCTAATTGGGCATGTTTTAGTTTTAGGCCCGCGCCGCGCCTGTGTGTTCGCGAAAAGCCGACAGGCCGGAGGCTAATTGGGCATGTTTTAGTTTTAGGCCCGCGCCGCGCCTGTGTGTTCGCGAAAAGCCGACAGGCCGGAGGCTAATTGGGCATGTTTTAGTTTTAGGCCCGCGCCGCGCCTGTGTGTTCGCGAAAAGCCGACAGGCCGGAGGCTAATTGGGCATGGTTTAGTTTTAGGCCCGCGCCGCGCCTGTGTGTTCGCGAAAAGCCGACAGGCCGGAGGCTAATTGGGCATGTGTTAGTTTTAGGCCCGCGCCGCGCCTGTGTGTTCGCGAAAAGCCGACAGGCCGGAGGCTAATTGGGTACGTTTTAGTTTTTAGGCCCGCGCCGCGCCTGTGTGTTCGCGAAAAGCCGACAGGCCGGAGGCTAATTGGGCACTTTTTAGGTTAAGCCGCACCGAGTCGTGCTTTAGTTTTTACTTCATTGTTTTAGTTTTATTTTAGTCTTAGTTTTTAGGCACTTCTTAGGTTAAGCCCGCGCCGCGCCTGTGTGTTCGCGAAAAGCCGACAGGCCGGAGGCTAATTGGGCACTCTTTAGGTTAAGCCGCACCGAGTCGTGCTTTAGTTTTTACTTCATTGTTTTAGTTTAATTTTAGTCTTAGTTTTTAGGCACTTCTTAGGTTAAGCCCGCGCCGCGCCTGTGTGTTCGCGAAAAGCCGACAGGCCGGAGGCTAATTGGGCACTCTTTAGGTTAAGCCGCACCGAGTCGTGCTTTAGTTTTTACTTCATTGTTTTAGTCTAAATTTAGTCTTAGTATTTAGGCACTCCTTAGGTTAAGCCCGCGCCGCGCCTGTGTGTTCGCGATAAGCCCGCAGGCCGGTGGCCGATTGGGCACTTCTTAGGTTAAGCCGCACCACCGTGCTTTAGTTTCAGTTTTAGTCTTAGTCCTAGTCTTAGTCTGTTCTAGCACCTTTAGCGTCACACTCTCTCTTTTCTCTCTCCTTTTATCCTGGTCTCGTCGCGCTCCGGCCTCTTCGTCTATTTCTCGACTCGCCCTCAACCCCACAAAACGAAGCGCGTCTTCCCCGCGATCGCACCACCATCATATGGCTCAAGGCTTCGACCCACCTCTCAGCGAACTAGCCCGAGATTCCCCAGGACGGGCCTGGGCCCTCGTCCGCGGCCAGCGGCGAGGACGTCACCGACGGCCCCTTCATCGCCATCCCGCAGTGGGAGGACTTCGATAACGCCGCCTTGTGCGACGTCACCTGGAGAAGCTGACCGTCACCCCGTGGGCATGGGCCGCCTATGCCGCGCGTCCAGCCTGGAACAACCGTCCTCCCTCTCGGAAGGACGCCTCTTGCACGTTGACCCCGTGGCCTCCGTCCTCCGCGTGCCCCATGGCGGGGCCAACGCCCGCTTGCCCGCCGAGTCAGCGAGCACCGCACCCAGACCCGGAAGGCCCTTGCCCAGTGCACCGAGACTGCCGCCAGCCCACGCGGCTAGCGCTGCACTTCTGCCTGCGTCAGCGTGCAACGCCAGCGAGCAGAGGCAGCAGCAGGTCGTCGCTGACACCCTCAGTCAGCTCACGGCGAGTCTTTTTGAGTCGGAGGTCGACGCCTCCGTCCACGCGGTCACCCGAGGCCAGTGCTGTCGCAGTGCAGGCCCCAGACGGGCCGGCGCCGACTGACCCAGTGCCGGGTGGCCTTGCTGTGGTGGCGGTTCCTGCAGGGGCGGAGCTCGACCAGTTCGTGGCCCACGAGCAGCGCCTGGAACCAACGCTGGCGCCGATCATCGACGCCTTGGAGGCTGACGGCCAGCAGCGCGACGAGGTTTTGGTCTGCCACACCCGTTTAGGTGGCCGCAGCCGAGGCCGGACCCGGCCCTTGTGCCGGTGCGGCGAGAAGAAGAGCCTGCCCTGCGGCCACCCCGCGCTCTCTGTCTTTCTTGCCCGCTCGGTCTCTTTGTACTAACTTTGGCTCAGCCCTCTATTGCCCCTGATGGTCTACGGGGTCACGAACATCCCTGACCCCTTGGACCGCACCTTCGTCCCTCCCTGTCCGGTTGCCTGTGTTACAGCGGTCGCCGCCCTGGCAGGAACACCCACCGACGCCCTGCCCAGACACCAGCGGGGCAGGCACCGAGGCAGCAAGGGGCGATCGTGCGACGGGCTGTCACCAAGGGCGCCGCCAGGGGCCTGGACTCCACCTTCGGGCGTGCGCCACCACGAGCGCGCCGTGGCGGTCTCCCCATCCGATCGCCCGGGACGCCCCCATGAGCGCAGCCGTGCGGGCGCGCACCACAACGAGCGCGCCGTGGCGGTCTCTCCATCTGATCGTCCGGGACGTCCCCAAGAACGCAGCCGTGGCCTTCAACTCCACCTTCCAGCGGCCGACGCCCCCGGGGACGACTGCCTGGACCGCGATAGACGCGGCGCCCGCCTTCTGCCGGCGTCGAGACGCGGGCGCCGCGCCTCTCCGTTGATGGCGCGTCTTCGCAGAACACTCCCGTGGACGTCGCATCGCAGCTCCGCCGACGACTTCTCTTTCTATTTTTCCATCTAAAATTTCTTCATTCTTTGGCACCAAATTAAATAAAAAATTGCTCTGTCCCATTTACACCACCAACACTTGATTTGCGTCTGGGGCGGTTCTATGGTTCGGGAAAACATTGCACTCATCCTAGCTGGCATCCAGCTCATAGTCGCATAGAAATTTCCAAAGTCTCAGTTTTCAATGTTTAAATTTTTCAACCATTTTCGCAATGTTTTTCCGCAGCATAGGGCTGCCCAGCTAACTGGCTCGCCCCAAAGGGTAAATTCGTTCAGTCAAGTTAACTTTAGTCCATTCGCCATTTTGGCCTTCAATTTCAAATCTCCATTTCGCGTTTAGATTTTGTATTTAATTTTTCGAGTCGCTTCCCGGGCATCTCCACTTTAGTTCGTTCTTCTTTTTTCGGCTTTACGCTTTAAATTCAGTAACTTTTGGCCCTGCATGCCAGCTGCACCTGTCCGTGGGGGGGTGGCTGGGCGTGCGGGGTCGCACGCTTTTTCGGTTGGGGGTGATGTGACGGTGGTCACGCGGGGACCGCCCAGCCGAAAAGTGCAAGCGAAGGCAGATGCTCGGGAAGGTAGGGAACCGACTGGCGAGCCGTGCCGGGGCTCGGCAGTCGGTGTGGGGCCTGCCAGCGGCCAAGACCAACCCAAGTGTCGGGAGTGCTGAGAGCTTGTATCAAGGTAACCGGACTCTTTCCTTATTCTACAACCCTCACTCCCGAGTAACCCCCTGACCATCAGAGAGCTACATCCCTGACAAGTGCTCTGGCCCACTAAACTGCCTGCTGGGTCCGGGACTTGTACAGTGTAAAGTGTAGCGAAGTATTTCTCATAATGTAGTACCTCTCGCGGTGCGCGGAATAATCTGTAGCGTGTGTGTCTCTGTACGAGTGTGTGAACGCACATTAAATACGTGAAGTTTCGTGAACCGAATTGCTGTGTTTCAATAGAGAAACATCCCAAACCTGGCACATATTACAACAAAATACCTCATAACCAGTATACTTTGCGACACAAATCTGTCATAATACAGAGAAATTAGTCCGTAATATGAAGAGGTTGGTCATAAGATACTGAGAACTCTTTACCAATGGTGAACCTTTGCTGTGCAGTTATAATACTCAGTTTCTTGTTCGTAATACGAAGTATAAGCTCAGGATATTGGGAGTGCGTGAGCTTCATTCAATTATAAATATGCGCTTGAGGACTTGACGCCCGAAGTCAAGCGCAGTAAAGAAATTCCCCCATTCATAAGGGTGGGAGACGCTCATACGCTCTAAATGTTGTGCAGTAAAGATTCTCCATATTGTGATGAAAATGTTCCATATTATGGTGGTGCAGCTGACTTTATGACATACTATTGAGAATTCACTTTATCTTTAAGTATTCTGACGAATTTTGACTGTATTATGGAGAAAATCTCCACCATAATATGGTGGTGGTGCCTTTCATCGTAAGGCATTTAAAGTGTTTAGTGAGTGTGATAAACCTGCCTTGAGCAGCTGCTCCTTGGCCGATTCCAGAGACTTATTCTCGAGGTAAAATTGACGGATTTTTCGGGCAAGTATCGGCTTGTCAGCGTCAAGAACCCGCTTGTCGTGGAAGCTTAGCAGCAGCGGTGCCACTGTCTCCCAGTGCTCGTCCAGATCCTGTACCAGCGAAGCGTTCAAGATGAATTCTGAATTTTAAAAGAAAGATTGCAGAGCGAAATCACTAGTCAGTTTGAGTAGTCCTCAAAACCTTGTCTTGGGGCAAGGGTACAATGGTCTGAGAAAAAGTCGAGGGGTCCTACAGGGTGAGTTTTCTCAATGTGTCAATAATTTGCAGGCAGTTTGGGCATCCCTAGGGGACCATTTTTCACCAATGAACTAGTGGGCGCAAACGTCTAGATACGGAGATAATTGGTGTTTTGAATTTGGATTTTGCGCCTACAAGGTAGGCACCCGGTGCCACTGAGGGTGGCAGGACCTGTCGAGAGGGTGTCGCGGGACTAGCAGTACTCGCGGGAGTGCCACTTACCTCGCGGAAGTATCCGTGGAATCCCGCCACCCTCGCAAAGACAGCCGTGAGATCCACTGTAACGGGGGCCACCATGACAGCCCCTTGAGACCCGCGGCAACCCCTCCCAAAAGACATTTGAAAGGTCCGCCGCACCCCTTCGAGACTCGAAGCACCCCTCCTAGACCCGCGACACCCCCACGTGAGGTCCTGCGCCCATCAGTGGCAGCGGGTGCCTACCTCGCAGGCGCGAAGGCTAATTACAAAACACCAATTATCTCCGTACCTAGACGTTTGCGCCCCACTAGTTCATTGGTAGAAAATGATCCCCTTGGGGTGCCCAAACTACCTACAAATTATTGACACATTGAGAAAACTCACCCTGTAGTATGTCGAAGATCACTGGTATATCTAAAGCGCAACTCTCTGCTTCACTTAAGCATAGCGTTACGCTTAAAGACGTTACGCTTGAAATGAAACATATACTGGAATCTTCTCTCATGCTTTTAGATACACACTAGATTACTACGTAGGTTTTCCTGCGCGCCAATGCATGAAATTAAACATGCACATCGTAACATACACTGTAAAAATTTTTTGTAGTCAAATTCCTATACATGTATATGAAACAATTCACATATACATGTATAGGAATATTACCACACACTTGTATGGCAATTTTCCTATACATCGGTATGGCATTATGACCATACGTGTATAGGCGTTGTCCTATCTGTTGTACAGGATTTTTCCTATACATCGGTATAGCAAAATTGCAATGCATGTATAGAATTTCTCCGATTGAGGGAAAAAAATGCAAATTATGCAGGCCGCAAAACTGAATCGTGGCAGATATTGTACACGAAGGTCAAAGTTCTCGCCGGTTAGTCCTAATGCCTGTCGTCCGGTGAACCGGTTCACCAATGTGGCGAAGTCCGACGCCTCCAAGTGTCCTCTTCAAAAGAGCGAGGACTAGTCTTGGTCAAAAATTGTGGGTAAGGTCGGAACGATGTCCGACTTCCTTCTATGTCGGGAGAGCGCCTGCCTCGTCACCCAACGAAATTCCCAACCGCAGCACCCACCGAGAAGTAAGTCCGTGAAAACGACACTAGCGCCATCTAGCGGATAATCCGGATTATAGGCAAAGAAGGAGCTTCGCGACTTTTGTCACAAGTGAATTATTACTCGCACTGATTACCAATATTTGTACAGGTCACAAGGATTTCAATCGTAGTTTTAACTGTTTCTAACAAAGCTCCCCTGATCAGTTGGCCCTATTGCTATACACGTATTGCAAAATTCCTATACAAGGATAGGACTTATGGCAGTTGCTATACATGTATAGGAATTTTCCTATACATTTTCGGTCCGTCTAGCAAAAAACCTATACAAATCGGAAAAATCCTATGCATGTATCGGAATATTGGTATTTCCTATACATGTATAGGAATTTTGCTAGACCACTGTATGGTAAAATTCCGATCACTTTTTACAGTGTACAAATTTGTGCGCGACAAAGCACGATTTCCTGCATACATGCGCACTTGCGCACTGTCGTCGCGCACAAATTCGTGCGTTACGAAGTGCATGTTTAAATTTCGTGCACTGGCGCGCAGAAAAACCTACGTAGTGACTTTGTGTGTAGGGGCAATCTTGGGAGATGAGCCTGTTGCGCTTAGTTTAGAGCCTAACCCGATCACGCTTGAAAACAGATTGTAATGCTACGCTCAAGTTTTACCAGAAATCTTATCCTTCTTAGTTAAAGATGTATTCTAACCGTTTCCTAATTTAAAGAATATTATATTAGTTAGATACAAGGGAATTTCGCAGACTTTGATAATTTGGGACAGCTTAAAATAAAAAGGAATTGTTTCAGGATCCGCACTAACATGAAGAGGAAAGATCAAAGAAACCAATGGAACTTGAAGATTTGCTTTCATACTTGTTCCAAATGGTCAAAATTTGCGACCTATTATTTTAGAATAAGATTCTGTATTCAGAAACGACCAGACAATTTTTTATCTTGAAACGGTAAAGGTGGCCCCACAATGGCCAGGATCCGACCGTCGGTCAGTCACTTGTTTCAGCTTCCCATGTCCGATATTTGACATGCACGGTAAAAACGGAACCTGGTTTTCCCAGGAACTCCCTGGAAATCGCCTATGTCTCCACCATAGGCTTCCTGGGAAAACCAGGTTCCGTTTTTACCGTGTGATGATCAACTGGAATGCAGGCGCGGATACACGGGGGGGGGGGGGGGGGGGGGGGGGGGGGCAAAGGGTGTTTTGCCCCCCCCCCCCAGAAGCTAAGGCATGCTGAAAAAAAATCGCGCATGTTGCCCTGTCATTGACTAGTGGAACTGGTAGAACTGCAAAATTTTCTCAGCTCGCTTCGCTCGCAAACAATTTACTTTTACCAACCTAAATATCTTTAAGAACCGCAAATTTTCTCAGCTCGCAAACAAACGCTGACCACCCTGGAAAGTCGTAAGAACCGCAAATGTTTTTAGTGCTTACTTCGCTTGCAAACAAATTACGCGTTTACCACTCTAAAAAGTCTTAAGAAGCGCAAATTTTCTGAGCTCGCTTCGCTCGCAAACAAATAACGTTTGCCACCCTATAAAGCCCTAAGAACCGCAAATTTTCTGAAGCTCGCTTCGCTCGCACACGTTTAGCACCAAAAGATCCTTACCCTAGTAACACAGACTTGTCGATCGACAATCGAATTTGTATCGGCACGTCGATAGCCGATAACGTTATTTCGCTTGTCGAGCGACTGTCGTCGCACTGTCACTCGGTCGACATTTGACAACTGATGATTTCTCGATGTCGCCATTCTATCGGCCGGCCGATAACGCGCTCTCGACAACGCTGCGATAGTCGGTCGAAGACGAACGGCCGTTGTCGAGGAATAATCGAGACCGATGCCAGTGCGATGTGAAAATTTCGACTATCGCGCTCCCGACAACCCTACGATAACGACTCGATGGCAACTGGCCGTTGTCGAGAAGCTGTCGAACTCGATGTTGCCGCGACACGGAAATCGCGCTTCCGACAACCAAGCGATAACGAATCGGTGGCGACCGGCCGTGGTCGTGGAGGAGTCCTTACCTCCAGAGAGTCGATGCCCGTCCCCTACCTACACTTCCAAGAAGGATTTTCCCGCTTGCTCACGGCGCTGGCAGGCCTTCAAACATCCGTGCAGCGACAAACAGGCAGTGGTTTTTCCACTTTCCGCGAATTGATGTTCCCGGCAATGCTCGGCCTGTAGGCCAGCCGGGAAACCGCCGCGACCCCAGCCACATCGCCGCGACACCACAATTTTTTCGCGACTCCAAGGTCGAGAACCGCTGCGCTAGGAAGCGAGGGAGTTGATTACTCTCCGCTCTAAGGGACGGGGGCACTCGGACGCTTCTCGGGGACTTCGTGAGTGGTCCGCGCCACGTAGGGCAGATGCAAGTCCGCCGCAGATGATCCCTGGTGAAGTCTGTCCGCCCAGCGTAAACCAAAAAGTTGCGGAATCCTCACAAGCCGCCGGCGCTACGGTGCAAGCGCTCCAAAAACGCGTGAAAATTCTAAGTCCCGATGTTGGCGTGGCTGGACCGTGGTTCAAGTCCTCCCGGCGGCGGGCGCTACAGCGTCCTTCCGGCGAGAGGCAAGCGGGTGCGAAGAATATCGGAACACTCGGATCATCGACACACTCAAGCATTTCTTTTTTTTCTTGGGGGGGGGGGTGTCTATCTGACTGCCGAGTTTGTGATGTCGAGGTATCATCGGATTCCGATGTCGAGAAATCATCGGCTCCGACTGTCGTCCGACCTCGGAAGTTGTGCCATTTCGATGACGGAGAAACGTCGGGGCCGACAGTCGATCGACAATTTTAAGTCGAGGCACCGACAGTCTACCGACAATCTATCGACTGATCTGTGCTACTAGGGTAAGACCGCAAATTTTCTGAGCTAGCTTCGCTCGCAAACAATTTACATTTACCACTCCTTTAATACATTCAATCGTGTTAAAAATTGATTTAAAAAAAGCACCTGCAGAACCTTCTGATAGGAAGGCAACCCTCATTGCCGTGCTTGTCTTCGTCCGGCGGCCCCTGAAAGTAGGCAACCCACCATGTTTGCCCCCCCCCCCCCAGGACGGACGTCCAGATCCGCGCCTGCTGAAATGGTACCCTTTTCATGAGAAGTCCAGGATTGAAAAGTTTGAATGGATACAACTGGATAAAACAAGTGTAAAGGTGAGACTGAAGGTCGGATTTCGGCCTGTGGGGGCACCTTAAGGTTGTACCTTTTCAATAAGCCCCCTGGAAGAAACGGCGCAGAATTTCCATCCCAGCAATTAACTGTCTAGGACTAGCTGCTCCACACTTCTTTACATAGCCTTACCTCCCCCAGGGAACAGTCCCTCGATGGGAACGAAGCCGAGCAGCAGGGGCACGTCCATGACGGCATCGACGTCCTCCAGCACCTTCTCGGGCTTGTCAGTCAGAAAGACGCCGTCGACGACGGTGGAAAACGGCGCAAAGGGATTCCTCATCCAGGGCTAGACGCGCGGAGAAGAAAAGGATTCGCTGGTTATGTGGACACCAACGTCCTTCCGCGTTGTTTGAACGTGACAGATGTTTTTGCACAACCACAATTTACAGAAGGAATTTGGTTTTTAACACAGATATTTTTTGTCCATAATTGTATGGTACACAGTAAAACCGGTAACTGATTTTCCCGGGAAGCCTATGGTAAAGACAACCAATTTCCAGGGGGTTCCTGAGAAAACCAGGTACCGTTTTTACCGTGTAAGTAACTTGGATAATTTGTTTGTAACTCGTGCGGATAAGCGGTATTTAAGTATTGTCACCAGTATAACTTGGGACGATATTTCACGTTAATTTTGGCCGATAGTGAAAACTAGGGCGGTTTTTGCTAACCGCTTTGCACACAACAGAAGAGCGTTTACACTGCAAACAAAAACCTTGAGATATAAGAAACAACCTAACTTAATGTAAAAATACCCAAGAAAACTGTTAATCCCCGTTTCTCCCGGAGAAAATTTTTTTGAGGTCTGAAATTTTGACCCTGAACTCCCACTATGGAGGACTACTAACCACTAAAAAATCAGCGAAATCCAAAGGGGTCGTTGTAAGGCCCTGCTTTTCGTAAATAAACGTGCTCATTGCACCTTACGTGCAATGCGTCCCGAAAATGCCCTATGTCAATGCAGGGGAATGGGGAGGCATTGCACTTCATGTGCAAGGCTTTGCTCATAGCGTTTGGATTCTCAGTGTTTCGAATACCTGAAAGTGTTCCCCCTGCAGGCGCACGAGTTGTGAGGCAGGCTTGCTCTGCAGGCAGTCCATCTTCTCCGCCGTGGTGCTGCCGGCGCACCCCACCAGGTCGGCCACGCGGTTGGCGTTCTCGCGAGCGGAGTGCTGTTGCGCCCAGGGGTTGAGCGGGGTGCCACTCGTGCCAATCACTCTGTGGAACAAGCCTGGCAAGGGAAACGGAACAACACTGTGTGTGTACTTGACTGCCAACTAAGCAACTCAAAAATGCACACTTGCAAGTATGCACTCTCTCAAAATTCCGCCAGTCCACGGCATACAAATCTATACTGCAGTGGAAGAAAAAGTGTGAATAGTACAACGAATGTACAACAAAAACTGTACTATAAAAGTACAACAAGGATTGTAGAAAGTACAACGAGAATTGTACAAACCACAACGAGGCCTTCATTGCACAGCACTCCTTATGCCGGTTCTATTGTACTTTGTACAATAAATGTTGTACTTTGAAAGTACAATAAACTCCTGATAGGAAATTTGCCAGAAATTTGTGTACTATTGTTGTGGTTTTTTCTTGCAGTGTGGAGCCCATGCTACGCATATGCACTCTTAGGTGTGTACTTGCACGAATGCATTTGTACGCGGTTATTTAGTGATCGATCGATAGGAAAACACCAAGATCGATTTACATCTAATTTTAAGTTGACTGTTAAGATTAGAGTTGGTTTCTCCTGTTTGGTTAAATATATGAGTGACGACCAAAATGTTCACAGCAAAGAGTTACCCCTCGACAGCGGCGACATGGTGTGCAGCAAACAGCTGGCGCAGCCGGCGGAGTTGCCCACCAGCGTGACGCTGTCCTTGTTCCCGCCGAAGTAGTGAATGTTGCGCTGCACCCACTTCAGGGCCTCCACCTGGTCCAGCATGCCCAGGTTGCCCCGCAAGTCCTCGTCCTCGAAGCTCATGTAACCTGAAAACGTCACAGACTAGCTTTAGCAAGCTGCAGGAGGAAAATACACTTTAAACTTGTTTCGTGCAGTACAGCAGAGAAATCGATAAATCCGCCCAAAAAATCCTCTTGTTTTTAGATCGTCACACTGTAAAAATTAATGTCCGGAATAAACGACGGCTCCTTCGGCAAAAAAATTGCCAACAGTTCCTTCGTTAATTCACGAAAGTCTTCGTATATTTACAAAAACCTTCGTTAGTTTTTTGAACGATCTCAGTCGATTTTACTATCAAATTGGAAATTTACGAAGCACCTTCGTAAATCTACAAAGATCCTTCGTAAATTTACAGGGAACCGTCGTTCATAAACAAAGAACCTTAGTTAATATACAGAGAACCTTTGTAATTGTACGTCTGGAATAGAGCATTCTAGTCGTCGCCGATCGAAGAACATAAAGAAGAACAAAACCGGGAGCCGGGATGAAACGGAGTAGGTATCAAGCCCGGTTCCAACGAGAAATGTCGACAAATATTTTTATTTCCTGAGTCAAAAAGTGTTTGAAACAAACGAAAGTGCTTTTGAAAGAGATTCGACACAGAAAACTCAGAAACTAGCCCACTCAGAGACGTTTGGGAGGTTATGTTGCCGGGGCCAGTTCCGACTTTGTTCTTCTTCTTGTTCTTCGATCGGTGACGACTAGAATACTCTATTAAGGGGGGACATCACTCCAAAATGATAAAAAATCGCAACTTTTTTTTATTAGTTTATACTACAGACCATTCTTTTCTGCGCCGAACGGCGAAAACCGCATTCCGAAATTCAAAAAAATTGCAGTTTTGGGAGGTTGTGGGCCGCAAACATGCATAGGGGAAAAGCCCAGTTTCCACAACTTTGATCGCGTTTTTCTCGGAACATGAAATTGCAAACGGTTGCAGGCCTCTAGGGCGCAGTTTTTGAGCTACAGCGGGGAGATTTAGCATGGAAGCTCCTACAACATGCCGCTGTGGTGGGTAGCAAAATAATTTGCATTGGTCAATTTTTATTATTTTTTTAACGTTCAAAATTGAACAATTTTGACCCAAAAAAATGAACAATTTTTTTTGGCATGTAAGAAATACCACTTAAAATGATTTTTTAAATGTGATTGAGGTACCCACCATATCTAGACATCTCAGGAAGGCTGTCACCAAATTTCGTTGTTCTAGGTCAAACCGTTTGGCGTCTAGCGCTGCAACCGTGCGAAATGGTCTAACTTAACACTCAAAAATGCGTTTTCAACGAAAGCGCTGTACTGCCCTGGCTGATTGACTTAGTGTGGTTTTATACTTTATCTGTCAAAATATGAGCAATTTTTCTCTTTCCGTTTGGTTTTTATGACGATTTTACAAAAGCACTGTTTTCGGAGTGATGTCCCCCCTTAACGACGGATCCTTCGGCAAAAAAATTGCCAACAGTTCCTTCGTTTATTCACGAAGGTCCGCCGTAGATTTACGAAGACCCGTCGTAGATTAACGAAGCCCGTCGTAAATTTCCGAAGCCCTTCGTAAATTTACAACAGACTTTGTACATTTACGATTTTTCTTCGTAAATTTACAAAGAACCTCCATAAATTAACGACGAACTTCCGTTGATTTACAAAAATTCCTGTAGGAAAGAAACATTTACAGTGCACTTTTGGACATTCCCAAAAAACTTCGGAAAATAATCCGTCGTAAATTCACAACATAATTTTTACAGTGCAGGGCTGAGACCGATTTGACAGAGATTTTAAGGTAGCGAATCAAATTGACCCCTATCAAGCCCTAAGGGTGAAAAGGGCCCAAACTTTTGGCAACAACATCCCCTCAATACATATTGTGAAGCTTTCAGCGACAGGAAAGGAGTTAGTCTTCGTAGACCGACAAATTGGATCGGAAGATGTGGGAACGGAACAGGGATCCTATCCCAGTTTCTTTTTGCAACAGCCACGCCACAAACCTATCTGTGTTTGCAAAGTACACACTTACAAACGCATACTTGGCCAAGTGCATGCATGTTCACTTACAATTTCATATGCGTAGCATGTTGTAATACGGTGGGAAGCATGCAGTTGTGTGTGAACTTGCCTAAGTATAGGTACGTGAGTGTGCATTTGGAAGGATGCATATTCGTAAGTTTGTACTTAGTAGACAGACAGGTTGGTGGTTGTTGGTGATGCACCTATTGTCTTCGACAGGGCATACCAAGCACGTTGAGGCGGTATGCGATGACGACCAGGACCACGTCGTAGTCCATGATGTATTGCACGCCGGAGCGCGGACCCCAGCCGGTCATGAAGCCACCGCCATGGATGAGCACCACCACGGGCAGGTTGGCAGTGTCGTACTGGAGCAAACGTGAAACGGTTTCGGTCAAACGACTCGCAATAGAGGAAGCTGCCCTGAAAGTTGATGAGAAGCAAACACAGCAAAGGAGCTCGCCCGGGTTGGCCCGAAAGCAAAGACCTGCAGAAGCATAGGATGTACTCTTGGCAAGTTGCATAACTTGCGATTGTACATCCGTGTGTATTTTTCTTTTCTTTTTGTTAGTGCATTGCCTGTGAACCTCACTCTTAAAAGCCTACGAAGCATTTGCTTCATGACTACAAAGAAAATGAAGGCATTGTAGAATTGCTATGTATTATGAAGAAATGCTTCGTATTACAAAGGATTTTGCTTCATAATACGAAACATTTCTTCGTAGATTTTACAATGCCTTCATTTTCTTCATATTGCGAAGCTATTCTTCGTAGAGTTTTTACTGTGCTGTTGACGTCTCAGTGGTTACCCAGGGAACACACGATTCCGAATGCCATCGATTTCCCAATAAATCGCTTTAAAAAAGTGAGGTTTTGTAAGAGTTTCCTTTGTTTTTGAGTTTTTTGTCACTATCTCTTGATTATGATAACTTTCCATCGAAACTATGAGAGGTCTCTTTAAAAAAAAAGTACCGTCAAGTCCCCTAAAGTGGGACGATTTTTACGGAAATTCGTCTGTTATTCACAGAATAACGATGACACCGAAAATCGCCGGGGATTTAAGAATCTTCATGTCAAAACACGTCTTTTACCGAAAACAAAAAAAAATTTTCAGCCCATGGGGCTCCAGTATGAGCAGCAAGAACCGTGTCCCAATTTAGGAGCCAAAGTCTCTTAAAGTGGGACAAAGTCCCCTAAAGTGGGACACGTTCATTCTTTTTCGCCCAAAAACTGCAGTAGCAAAAAATTTCATAAAATGTATTATGTTTTAAATTTAATTTGAAGCAAGATTGGTTCTGAAGTCTTTTTCGATATCTCGACTGGTTAAGCTGATATGAGCCTCTTCAATCAATTAGTTTTCCTTAGATATATTTAAATTACACTGATAGAAAAGATGCTGTTAATTAACAGCATATATCCTGTTAAGTTTTTTAGCAACACTTGTTGTAGAAGAACGGCATATTGTTGGACACTGAGTCGTTATCCAACAGCAGTGTTGTAAAAAGGGATGATGGCTCTCTGTATCTGATCTCTGTCAATAAGTTGTTGTGTAACAGAATTACCATTTCCAAATGGCACCAACCTGTTCATAAACAACACTTTTCTGTTTTCAAACAAAGAAGTTGTTATACATTTACAAAAAAAATGTTGAGGGTCCTAATAGTCTTATCCAATACTAGCAGTCATTCAGAAACGCTCTTTTCTGTTTACAAACAGCACTGTTCTTCAACGCGGTCTCTCTGTTATTCACAAAAAGGAAATAGGAGTTTCCTGACGGCTCAAACAAGACATTTGTTTTGTAACAGTTCGTGCAGTTCTTGGACAGTTCACCGCTGTTTAAAAATTGGAAGTGTTGCTAAAAAACTTTACAACACAAATGCTGTTTAGAAACAACAGAATTTATTTTGACATAGTTGGAGTTTGATTTGAGCCGTGAGCTGCAAAATGCTCCGGCAAATCTTCAATTGAATGGTGTTGTTTTTAAATGACAGGATACCGTTCCAAAACAGCATATATCATTAATTTTACAAACAAGATGTTCTGTTTTCCAGCATTGGAAATCGACTATATTTGTTGTTTTCTCCAATGATGAAACTTGCTGTTTCCTAACAGCATTTGTGCTGTTTTAAATTCCGATGACACGTGCTGCTTAAAAGCAAATCACTCGTTGGTAAATGTGCTGTTTTCCTACAGTTTCTTTTAACAGTGTAGAAACCGCCGTAGCGCCTAAACCAATTGAAATACGGCGAAAACCAATTAAACAAAATGGCCTTAAAATTTAATTTCTGACCAAAAACATTTTATGAAATTTTTTGCTTAGGTCGTATTTTATAAGTTTCGAAATGCACGGCAAGAAATAGATGTTGAAATTTTGAAAATTAAAAACCGTTCGCCAGGCAACTTTTTTTCTAAAAACACTGTTAAAAATCCACTGTAATATTACAACACAATCACCTACAGTAATGCTGTTAAAAAACAGCAGTATTGTTTTGTGTCTGAACAGGAAACCCATCCAGAAACAGCACTTTCGTTTCATAACAATTTCGTTGTCAAGTAACAACAATGTAATCGTGATTCAAAATAGTTGTGTTGTCGTTGAACAGGTTTCATGTTTAGAAACAGCCTTTTGCAATCTTAAAACATATATTGTTGTCAGGTTACAAGGGTCTTGTTTAATAACAGCACGATGAAATCAACAAAAATGTTGGGAAGACATCGTCGAAGACTCCAAAGAAGTATTGTTTTATTACAATCGAACTGTCAGAAAACAGCACCGAGGGCTACAACATGCTTGTAATAAAACAAGTCGTGCTGCTATCAAACTTAACAGCATAAGTGCTGTTAATTTACAGCACTTTTTTTAACAGTGAAGTTTTTTGTTCAAAATATAATTTTACGCAAGATTTGTTTTATGGTCGATAACGATATCTTTGTCGGTTAAGCCAAGAGGAAGCATTTGCTTTCAAACATAAACTAAATTTTGTGCTGACTTAAAGCGTACCGAACCGTACTTGCCCGACTGCCTGGGCCTCCAAACCGACCTGACAACCTAATATAGACCAGGCGGCGTTTGTGGGACGCTGGAGGTGAATGTAACGCCTCTGAATCGGTCAAAACCTAAAAGAAACGAAGAAAATTCATGTGTCCCACTTTACAGCCCCTTAGAAGATTGCTTCCCACCGTAAAACGAAGCGTCGGAAACAAATTTTCTGAAGTGCATCTTGTAGATAAAAGAACGCGCTACAACATGTCTGAAGTCTAGAATGGTCCGAGCATCAACGGCTCGAAGCCCCGAATCCGCGCTAGACGTCTGAAAAAACTTCTCTTTTTTTCTGCATCAAATTCCAATTTTCAAGATTTTTTCGGGGAGGGGGTATGAGCGGGAACAAGACACCAGGGATCCTTAACTTACCTCATAAGGGCATCATAACGTTATCATAAGAGTTAAAGTTATTACCCTTAACTTCTAACATCTTTTCAAAAGGGTAGGTTATTTTTTTAAGTCTCGAATTTGTTTGGATATACTTTTGCAAGTACTTTCATACGTCCGTACCCTTAACCTGTAGCGGACATTGTCTTATGTTACGTTATGAAAGCAGTGTTAGTTAAATGTTAAGTTAAGTTAAGGATCCCTGCAAGACACCCTCTGCGGATATGATCTCGGAGGGGTCCTACCGTCTCAAAAACATTTTTTACCTCGCAAAATATCTACGCGTTGGCCGTTTACAGCCTAGAATAGGGAAAATAGTCAAAATGTCCCACTTTAGGGTTCGTGTCCACATTTAGGGGACTTGACGGTAATTTACCCTAGTGCGTGGCCCCTCAATGTGGTGTTCGATCAGCATTTTTTTCGATACGTGCATCGCGTCGAGCGCGTTGTGAACGTTAACGGTTAATGCCGTATTGGCTCATTCCTACTGATTCATTCATCTGGCATGTCATGATAAGGAAGCTTCAAGCAAAAACTAGAATGCAATAACATCGATTCTGGACTTTGACCTGGTGCTTACATTCGGGGTGAAGACTTGCAGATTCAGGCAGTCCTCTTCACCGATCACATCGAGGTATTTCCGGGGCTGCTGCATGCACATCAGGTTCAATTCGTTGGTGGCGTTGAACTGTTGGTCTGGGAGGTCTTTGGGCACCGGTGGCTGCAGTAAATTGTGGATACTTTAAAAATCTTGCCACATTGCCAGGGATCCTTAACTTACCTCATAAGGGCATCATAACGTTATCATAAGAGTTAAAGTTATTACCCTTAACTTCTAACATCTTTTCAAAAGGGTAGGTTATTTTTTTAAGTCTCGAATTTGTTTGGATATACTTTTGCAAGTACTTTCATACGTCCGTACCCTTAACCTGTAGCGGACATTGTCTTATGTTACGTTAAATGTTAAGTTAAGTTAAGGATCCCTGCACATTGCTTGAATTTGTTTGAACATTCGTAGGCCTACTCAGCTGAGCGCACTCTCGCACACGTGCACTGTGCGAAAAAAAACACAGTGAATCCTCGTTATTTTTTTGCCACGATTTACTGTAGTTCAAAATACAGGACTGTTCCTGGCTCCAGGGTTACTATACCTTGTACAGGATTTTCCGCACTCCACCTCTGTTTCACAGTAAATCCCGTAGAAGTACAGTAGATCCTGTAAAAAAAGTACAGTAAATCGTGTACTCTGAACTACAGTGACAGCTGTACTAATCGTTACAGGATTTACTGTAGTTTTTTCTCACAGTGTGTACACGCCGAATAGAGTGCACGGAGCACACCGTAGAATTTGCAGAGTACGCTTCAGTCACACCAGCCCATCGATAAGTCACCTTGAACCTGAGCTTGCCGACGGGGGGCTCGGCGAAGGGGATTCCCCAGAAAGCGGCGTAGTCCCTGGCCGCGACTCCTTCGCGCAGCCCAGCACTCTGCAGCCGCTTGCCCGTCACGCTGCCCCTGCCGTACGTGATGGAGGGGTTCTCGGGCAGCTCGGCGGCGACACCGAGCGCGGCCACCACGGCGACGGCCACGAAGAGCTTCATGGTGGTCAAACCCGTCGACGGCCAGCTGTACGTCGCCCAAGGACGACGGCGGCGGAATGGCGCAGTCACGTCGCATGCGCAACTCGTTCGCACTAAGCTGCAAGATTACGGATCTGGCGGCGGAGTGCCGCCTCCTCGGCAGATGCATGCCTCGACGTCTAATCGCAGCACCGGCATTGCCTTGTGTTCATCCACCAGAAAGAAAGTCAAAAGATAACTCGGAAAATCGGGCTACATATCGGCAACTATGGACCCTTGGACTTGTTAAAAAAATGCAAAAATAAAAATGAATATTCTTGTTTCACAGCGTCTTCCCTGAGGATGTAGTGTCTGAACGATATACTCGAAGAGTGTTCGATGCCTTCTAGAATAAGATTATGTCTGTATTCAGTCAGTCTTCAATTAACAGTCAATTAGTCAAGTCGTATTATTATAGGGGTTCATCAAGTATGATTTTGCCAATATTTTTTCGGAAATTTCTTACAGTGTAGACACGAAGCGGTTTTGCTCTTATACTATGATACTGTAACTAGGGATAACAGAGACAGATAGAGCTTATAGAGCGATAAAGAAACTTTGAGTTTATAATTATAATTTATCTTTTCTCCAATGCAAAAACCCACGGAAAGAAAACATTTCAATGCGTGAAGATCATGCGGGCCACACTTTACGAAACAGAACAGTATCATCTGCTTTGACGTTCTGGACTTTCCTGAACTTTTTTCCAACCCGCTAACCGTCAGCTATAACGTTTACGTACGATTAAAGATGAGGTGCATCAAGTATTATCGTTGTGACTCCGTTAGCCCGTTAAATTACGTCATGACCGGATGCTGCAGCATCCCTGATCCCCATCCAAATATGCAGATTCGGTCGATACCTATAGGGGGAGAGGTCAACTATATTGTTTACATATGGCTTTTTGTTAACATATGTGCGAGCGAAGTATTTTTATTCTGAATCGAACTGGAATCTTACTTAAGAAAATGTTTCGAATAGAATTCAAATTAACCTGAAAAAATTGTCGAATCGAACTTTAAAGATTCAGAACCAAAGCGAATTAGATCTAAAACAAACAAAAAATAAGTTCTTTTCAAAACACATTTTCTGTAATAAAGGAAGGGCATTGAGCAGGAATGCAAAAAGAAGAAAACTCAAATATCTGATTTTGCTTTGATATGAAAACAACAGTATGATGTCAAATGTCCGGGAATTCCGGGAAACCCCGAAAAAATAGGGCCATCCGGAAAAAACACGGGAAAAGCCCAGGAATTTCGCTCCATTGCTTTGAAGGTAGAGATGACACATCGCAGTTTGACTTCCCCGTAGTCCAACGAACAAAGATCCTGGGAGTCCAATTCACAGCCAAAAGACACGATCTCCCGTTGAATAACTGGCCATGCAGCGTTTGTGAATACAGCTATGGCTGTGCTCGAATCCAGCCGACATCGGCAATTCACTATCGAGGAAAGGGTTTGGTTCGTTTGTGCCGACGCACTATCCAAATTGTGGTATGTTGCCAAAGTAGTAGCACCACTGGCCAAAAATTTGACCCGTGTGCGAATATTTGCAAACTAGTTACTCTGGTCTGGCCGCGTCATCAGGTTGCCATGTCCAGTCATGTGCCTGCCACGGGGCTGATTGGCTGAGCGATAGCGAAGCCCTTGCCGTGTTTGGGCGCTCCGAAAAGTGACTGGTCGTGCGTCTGTCTGTCTGTCTGTCTGTCTGTATGTTATCACTCACGTTTCTCAGCAACTACAGAACGAATAGTATCCAAATTTCACACCTGATGTCTCCTAAACATCCTACAGGGGCAGTTTATCTTAGATTAACAATTATCATCGTTTGAAATATTCAAAACATCATTTTGAACTAGGTAATTGGCGTGTTTAGGTTGGTAGCAGCGTGTGGCAGACCAATTTCTCATACCGGCTGCCGCGCTTGCAAGCCGTCTGCAAGACGGGACGGTAGACTGTCCCAGAAAGAAGTCGATGTTCTGTTACTCATCCGCACACCCAGGGAAAGTGTTCCTTTTGTTAAAAAAAGACTAAATTCTTTCGCGGAGGTGTCTCGGACAGAATTTAGAGGTCGCGCATCGGCAAAAAAGCGAAAAATGCCGTTTTTTTGTTCATTCCGCCCGATTGCTCCCGCGGGGGTTCACCCTCCCCTCCTCCCGCTACTCACTTGAACTCTTAGCATGTTTGGGCTCCCTTCCTGCACAAAACCGACCCATCCCGACCCCTTAAAAGTCCGCATAATCGACCAAAACAATTTTTTTTTTCTTTAAAAAAATCTAAAAAATGCAAAATATGGTACAGGGGGTTCGAATTAGGGTCCGGTGTTGGTTTAGAACGAAAGAGAATCACAAAAAACGTAGGATGGCGGTCATAGGAGCTTTCCAGATGAGTATTGGTGCCGCCCGGGCGGCCGGAAATTTGCGCATTTCAGTAAAACTGCCGTTTTTTCGCCCTTCTCCGCCACTGTAACGCTTTCCACCGCTTCCACGCCACCCACTTGGGTTCTTCGGACATCA